TTACTCTCTCATTCTTTATTTTTTATTTTGTTGGCAACCATGAGTTCTTAGCTCTTCTATTAATGGAAGTCACGTAGTGTTTGTGAAAGACAAGGACAAGGCAACAAATGCCATCTTTTGAAAATGGCATTTGTTGAAAAAGTTCTATATAGAAACAATGTCATTTTCATAACTCTAGCAATAGGTGAGGTACTTTATCAGGACTCAGGCCACAGGCTAGGAAGCATGTTGCCCAACGATAATTATACCCTTGTCTATATATAATATAGTCTGACAATGAGGGGTATTGTGAGCTGCTGCCACCATGCAGCCTTTTTTTGAACCTTAAACATGAATGAAAATCGCCAAGAATTTTACCCCTCAATTAAAATGGTGGGAGATGGGCGGATCTAGGTTTAATAGTATATTTCTGTATATTTTTAACTTTCTTTTCTAAATCCGAGTTCCGAGTTTTTAACCTTGGTCGGGCTCAAATTTTATTTCCATGTAAAAAATATATAAAGAAGCAATTTTTGATAGATAAATTTTTATTTTTATATTATTATATCTTTAAATAAAATTTTGAGCTAACTTCCAAACAGATACACAAGAAAGAATGTTTTCAATAAAATGAAATTAAATTGTACAGAATTTTTTTTTCAATATTGAAGATTATTTTTTATCTATTAATCCTTGTATATGAATACAAGATATTAATTAAATTAGATCTGTATTAGAAACATAAAAAATAAGAATTATTTAATTATACCTCTGATTATACGCATTGAAAATAGTTTTAGTTTTCCTGAAGATTTTTTCTACATATTTTAATAGGTGTAATCAATGGAAAAAAATATTGTTTTTTTAATTTTGAATGGTATTTTTATTGTAAATATGAACAAAAGACCATATTTATCTATATAAACAAAAGAAAACAATTTGGAAAATTTGCCTACAGTATGTCCCCCAAGTTTTCTCTAAAACAGTGTGGAAATTTGACAAAGAATAGGTAAACGGGATTAACCATTTAGACAAGCAAAATCTTTTTATGAAAAATGCATTTTTTTAAATGTTAATTAAAAAGTGCTTCTGTAAAGACAATCCAGGGATATACTGTATATTAGATACTTCGATAATGGTTCAATAAGGTTTATAGGGAAAGGAAGAACGACTGGAAAATTGGGGATAAACTGCAAGTATTTTTTTCTATGGGATTTTTGTATGAACTAAAGATCATAATGATAGTTAGTGTATGAACTCGTAAGTTGTTTTTTTGTTGTAAGAATTTATAATATGTTTTAAACTCAATTATTAATTAATAAAGATTTATTCTGAAGTTTACAATTAAGAATAAGTCGCCAAAATTGCTAATATTTATTTCTTGTGTAGATACACTGTATTTTTTTTTTATAAAACTTTAGGAGGTTTAAAATTCTATTTATTCACTAGGGTTGCGATATATGTATGTATGTATATTTTTTCTTTGTGATGTTCATTGTGAAATTATTTTTCATTAAAAATATTTTTTCAAGAGACTAAGACAAACAGAAAAAATTGAACAAATTGAAATACTAAAATCTATTACTCCATCAATTTGGTTCATAAACTTGTTGTAGTAAGTATTAGTAGGTACGTAGGTATTATATTTATGTGTTTAAATCAAGTAAAATTTAGATGAATTTAGATATCGGTATCTTCTCTTAGATTTAGAATGAGTTTAAACTTGCAAAGAAAACATTTTCAATAAGACTATGTAGTTTTATTATTTAATTTTATTTTTTTCCTAACCAATTGTGTATATCAAGCATACCTTATACCGTATGATCGAAAAAAAACGGCGCGTCCAGTTGGCTTGGAAATGACGATCGATTACTTTTCCCATATAATTTTACATATAAAATGACAGCGATCTTCATTTCATAGCCATCGCTGACGCCGTTTTTATTCGATCATACGGTATCTTTGTAGAACAAAAACCTGCTTCTTTAACTTATCATCATAAAAAATAAGGCTTCCTTCGTTCCAACACACACAAACCAAGTTTCTAGTTAATCATTAATTTATCACTAGAAAACAATTACATATCACATTTTTTGCACTGATAACCACTGTCAAATCACTATTTAATGTTAGCTGTCAGTCTCTTAAGACTTCGGCTGCAAATGCACTAATGGATGTGCATGAGCACATTAGTCCACTTTTTTATTTAATATTGCATAGAGTAGATCTTCCATTGTCTTAAGTCCCATCCACTGTCTGATGTTACGAAGCCATGACATCCTCTCTTTCCCTTAATCTTTCCTTCGATGATCAACTGAAGGAATTGGTATCTATTGTTACGTATCACGTAACCCCATCCTCTGTTAATACACTTGTATGCATAATACCGGCAACTTTTTAGGAACATCCGGGTTTGTAGTCCTAATTTTTGGGGCATCTAGTGGATTCAATCAGCATGTCCAGCTTGAAATCATTCATAGTTGACTGGTTGGTATATTTTCTAGCTTGCTGCTTCTAGCAATATATTTTGATATTGTATGCACTAATTTAACTGTTAGGTCACTAATTCTATGACAATGGCAATCGTGTTAACCTTAAAACAGAACATAATTGATATTAAAAAACGATAAATACGATCAAAAACATACATAGATTTATATCGAAGAAATGTTATAATTTTTGCTACAGTAGATTACAGTACTTACCAGTCCTATTATTTTCGGTAGTTCCACAATAGTTCTGAACGCAATATATGCCTGGAAAATCAATATTGGCCTAGGAATTTCTGAATTTCCCTTTTATTTTCAGATTTTGATTGTTTGTTTTGAAGTATCGCGTGAGGTTAGGTTTCATCTTTCATCAACAACAGTTTGCGCGCGCTCCTTTTTCGTTCAAAATTTGTTCGATTGTTTATCGTCTCTATTTTCTTAATTATGCAGTCGAATTATTCTTTTTGGTAATAAATGGAATGTTGGGAATTTTGTTATTACTCTGATTTAAATATTCAGCCCAGAATTTTTTTTAGATACTCATTGTTTTTAAGAAAGACTCTAACATGACCCCAACTAACGGAAAGTAAAATCATTCCTAATAAGGAAACTCTAGTAATCGACCAATTAGAGAGTGAGAAATCCCACCTTTCCTAAAAATTCGAAATCGTAGCGTAGGGGAATACGAAAACTTCTGAGGAGCCCTCGCCACCTGGTGAACAGAGCCCCAAAGCATCCGATCATTGTATATCTATATCATCTATAATCAAGGATTATACTAAATACTAATAATCGGCATTACTTTTACGAAACTAATGTTAAAATGCTTAGAGGCCCAGCTTCGTCAAAACGTTGATATTTAGAGAAATGGACATCTAGAAATCTCCATCATATTAAATATTAATTCTTGGCAAGTTCAAGGCAAGTTTGTAAAATCTAGTGATGCGCTCATGCAAGCTTAAGACCAAAACTCCCTTAGTCTTTTAAACAGTCTGTGCACTATTTTAGTAGATTCTTACTAGAGACAATTTCCACATTGAAAATAGGTATTTAATCAGTTTATAGAAAATGAAACTTTACAGGAAGAGACAATGAATATTTTTATTTTTCAATGCCCTTTCAATAAGCAATTCAATAAGCACAAGCGGTAAGCACTAAGTTCTGTGATATTTTCAAATAAAAATAATGAATAAAATCTAGTTAAGGAATTACATGTTGAAGTTTGTTTATCTAATATTGAATTGAAATATGATTAAAAATACGATATGGGCATCTTTTAACCGGCCAGCACAAGACACGAAAAACATTAGACGATCAAATCTATTTTTCTAAGGCTCCTTGATTAAAAATTAGTGTTTTTAACATACCCATGACACTCTAGATTGAAATTTAAAATACGATTTTTTTAAAGCGAACATGTCAAAAGTTGACATATGATATGTCATTCTATTTAGAGTGTTATATTCTATCGGTAAAGTAAAAAAAATACCGAGGGTACCATTTAAAAATCGAAAGTTGTGGTCATTTCCGATAAAACAGGAAATGACCGAAAACAATTGAATACGTTAATCAGTCCTAATTTATGTCATATATTAACGTACCAAATCTCGTTTATTTATCTGAAAAATAAAAAAGTTATAGGGGTGAGTTAAAGTTGGGGGATGGAACCTTCGGTGTTACAACAGCCTACTATAAAACACTAATTCAGCACAATACACCAAAAACACTTTACTTTTACACTGAACGCGCGTTTCGCTAACCATGTTAGCATCATCAGCAGAAAAATTGGGTGTGAACTTTAGGGGTGATAAAAACTTGTAACTTTTAAACTTGTAAATTAATAATTAATTGTAACACCAAAGTTTCCAACCCCAACAGTAATCTTCGATGGCTTCACGGTCTTCGGAACTGAATATTTATAGTTAGTTATTATACATATAGTAATAGTATTAGGTCATTAGGAGCAGATTTTTGGTTTCTTAAATCACGGAAAGCCAATTCAGTTAAACCTAGTTTTATTAAATCGATATCCAAAGTTTTAATCATCTGCTGATGATGCTAACATGGTTGTGTATTGTGCTAAATTAGTGTTTTATTTTGAGGAGTAGAGTTTTTATTAAATTCTTAAAAAAACACTCTGTCTACGCGATATCTGTTAAGTATTTACAGTTAACCAAAGAAAGCTTCACTATTACATTTACGCGACCTTCACAAGATAATCCAAATCGGTTGCGATACTTCTTCGAAACAAATTTCAAAATAAAAACGTCCGTACATGTATATGACCCAGCCCGAAACAATTTAAAAAAAAATACTTTCTTCGGTAATCCTTACAACCGGACACTAGACTGAATACCAATAGTCTAATTATTATTCCGACGGCAAGGAACAAAATCTAGTTGCAATCAAATTTCGTACAGTCCGACCCGATTACACTATGTTAATTAGAGATGTTGGTACTTATTTTATTTTATAATTCGATGAGGTGGTCCCCTTCCCAATTTAAATTTTGGGGTATAAATAATTCGGGTTGTTGGTGGGTAGGTATCAGACTTCGTTTAGCAGTCAGCCAAAGCCAACCTTAAGCAAAATGGTTTCTCAAACTTTGGTAAGTCTCTTGTTATATTATTTATGTATCTGGAGCATGTGTTCGTATGTGGTATTTTCAAAATAATTCCTTAAAAACTTATTTTATTTTGAAAATTTTTAAAAAATATATTTTTTGGCTTAAATTTAGAGAACTACTGGATTTTTTTCTGGGTTTTCTTTCTTGACATTTTTCTTCGCGAAAATAAAACCTCATTGAAGTGTTTCTGGGGTCAAAATATACAACCCTTAAAAATATTTGCACTTATTTAAGACTCACCCTATCGAGTATTTTCAAGTATTATTTAATTAAATTAATCACAATTTTTTTTAATCTCAATTGAAAATTTTATTATCAATATTTGATGTCTCTCAAGAGTGAACATAAAACTATCTAGAATAAGTACTACTCCAATACCAAAAATATTTCAAATAGAGTTATTATAATTAATACAACGTTTAGATAGCATAATTCAAAAATGTAACATTTAAACTCATATTTATATTAGTGTAGGTATTGCATTTGTTAGTTTTTTATAATTTTACCTCATCAGGAATCTTGAAAAATTGATGAAAAAAAATCACATAAAATTAATAGACTGCAGACGGCAATAATATGAGAAAAAAAATGATATAAAGGTATACAGGGTGAGTCTTAAATAAGTGCAAATATTTTCAGGGCATCTCAATAAAAGAAACATATTTTCTCTTTGCCGTTTTTCAACAATATTTTACTTTGAAAATTTCAAAATTGATTGATTTTTCGCTTAAATTTTGAATACCACTATATTTTTCTGGGTTTTGTTGCTTGTAAATTTAACCTACTACTATGTTGCCATATTATAAAGATATTATGTTTTTTAATTAAAAATTAAAAATATTTTCTAATTTTTTTTCAAGAAATTCTAAATTTTCAATTTTCTTGCCAAAAAAACGTTATAGACGTGTTTTCTGGGGTCAAGATATACTACCCCTAAAAATATTTGCACTTATTTAAGACTCACCCTGTATAAATATTAAGAGAATCATGTATCTCTCTATGTAACCTGTCGCTGCTATAAAAACAATCTTCACTTTTCTTGGAACATTACCACTAAACCAAAAATATAACAAATGAAGCATTTTATTTGATGCCTTTATAGAGTAAATCAGAATATGAACTCTTTTCTAGAATCTCTATTTTTAGAAGTTTTTACAGAAAAAAAAAACATAATAAGCAATTTTTTCCATATTTCGTGTCTAGTATTTTGTCTGCAGGAGTGTGGAAGTTTGGGAAAGAATAAGATCGACAAAATTACTATTCAAAATATGTAAACGTGAACTTTTACAAATAAAGCTTTATAAATATGCTATAGTTACTAAATGAGGTAATACGTTTTATCTTAAATATAACTTTATCTGAAGCAATGATGTTTCAGGTCTATAGATACAATCTACGTCCTAGTTTTAGTATAAATATTGAAGCTATTTAGTTTTTATATTGTAAATTTTTTTTTTTAATATTTTAACTTTGTACTCACTAAACTAACATAAAACTATTCAAACTCGTATGATCTTCGTTTTTTGAAGATCATCGTAAATAGCGAACATGAATTAGACATTTTGCTTCCTCTTTTTGACATATCTTCTTTCTACTAATAGAAAAAATAGAGCATTTTGTAACTAAACACAAGTTTTCTAGTGACTTTAGAGTTTTAGTTGATGTTTCAGTAAACACAACTCGAGGCAACTTGTTAAATCTTATTATATTTTGGATATTTAACAATAAAATATGACGCTCGTTTTAAATTTACTTTGTCTCCACTAATTTTCACGTACTGTACAAACATAAATTTCTGGGTTAGGTATATCATATATGTACTCATCTGACCAATTAAGGTATATGACGTATATTATTCAAAATTACAGATAAATAAATTTAATTTATTTATTTTTTTATTTTTAGTTCGTTGCTTTCTTCGCTTCAGTAGCCGTTTCCTGCTGCTTGGGAGGCGTCGCAGTCCCAGCAGCCATTCCCGCCGCCTACTCCGTTCCCTACGCCTCATCCTACAGCGCCAGCGTAGTCAACCACGCCGTAGCAGCCCCGGTTGCCGTAGCAGCCCCTGCAAGATTAGCCACACCATTGGCCGCCCCAGTTGCAGCTCCTCTGATCGCTAAAGCCGCACCCTTAGTTGCCGCTCCCGCACCTTACGCTGCCGCCTACGCTTCTCCCTACGCTTCTCCCTACGCTTCTCCCTACGCTTCTCCCTATGCTTCTCCCTACGCTGCAGCTTACGCCGCGCCATACGCTGCCGCTCCCTACGTAGCAGCTCCTTACGCCGCTGCGCCTTACGTGGCGGCTGCCTCACCCTACGTTGCAGCACCCGTAGCCGCTGCTGCTCCTTTTATTGCTGCCAAATAAGTATTTTGTGATCTTGTAGCTTATCTCTGTCTAATGTAAATAGTTTGTTAAATTTTTTCTATTATATGTCGTGCTAGACGCGAGGAAGGGCATTGTTTGAAGCCATGTATATAGGTTTGATGTAAATAAAGTTTGTTCTAATATATTTTGTATTTAATTGTATGCTGAATGGTTGGTTCCATAGTATATTGCCTTATCTGTGTGCAAACTTATTAATTATAGTTTTTCAACACTACTATTTTGTACTAGTTTTAGTACCGAGCAATACCTAGAAAGGAAGCACATGTGAAGCAATTTATTCTAATTTAAAGTTACAAAATTTATATTAACATTATGTGATTATTTTTTGACATTTTCATAAGCATCTGATGTGAAACAATTATTATAAAACCATTCATGTTAAAGTAATAATTATTATAATAATAGATTATTCAATATTCATCATCATCATCATCATTTTCAGCTTATTCAACCATTTCCAAATATGGTGCACCCTCTTTGTAATTGGGCCTATATTGTTTTGGTTTGGTTTGGTCTATTGTTGGCTATGCGGGCCCAAGTTATCCCTGATAATTTCCTAATATCATAGTCCCATCTCAAGTTTAAACTTTTTCTAGGTCTCTTAATTCCTCGTGGGTACCACGCTGTAATTTTTGTGGTCCATCTGTTGTCCGTCCTTCTTGCTAAGGGTCCTGCCCATTGCCACCTGAGGATCATTCCTAGTTGAGGATTGCCAACTGAGGATCATTCCTAGTATTTCCATTAGGAGCTTTTTAGCTTTAGAGTCAATTTTCTATTTGTGTATTTCTATTGTGTATTTCTTTGTTCTTAAAGTATGTATTGGCTATGAAAAGATTCTCATGATATGCGTATGGTACAAGTCTCTCTCCTTTCTCATTTCGTTCCCCAATTTTAAAGTTTTCCATTTGTTGTTCTTATTCTTTTCGTTTTCTCACCTTTGCATTGAAGTTCCCTATTATATATTTGAAATTACTATTGTTCTTGTCCAAGGCTTGGTTGATTTCATTGTAGAATTCTTCTACTTCCTCGTCCGAGTGACTAATTAAGCAATATTTTTCTGACAGTGTTAGACTTGCTACTCTATCTAAGATACATGTTATGTTCACAACTCTGTCCATTCGTTTTTGATAAGTTAGATATTCTCCTTTCCGTCTTATTTCGCTGCCATGCCAACTCTGACGCCGTTCTTTGTTTAATCATATAATATTATATTAAATTGTTAGTAATGATAGAAAATCCGTATTATTAACGTACTATACCGAAAATTCTTAAAGCTACGGATTAATCCGTAGTTCTGGCAACACTGTATCCAGTAACCACCCAGTATGTCGACTGAAAACAGAAAACTGTAAACGATTATCAGCGCGCAACGGCGCAGAGTTCAATTAAATTTCGGGCTGACGGTAACATACATACTGCCATTACTCGCTGACGAGTATTTGACACGCATCAGAAGATGGTCACGCAAGGCGTTTTCTTTCGTAAGCTCTTCTGTGACTGAAAAGCCCGATACGTGATGTTATCTGTCTACGCACTCCGGACATTCGAAAATCTCATTGCTTTGTTGCTTCTTAACTTTTTGGTTGTCGCTGTTAACTGAGTTTACAATTCTTCTCCGTTAAGTTCTATTGTGAGCTGCTTCTTCCAACTCATTCTGCCCTGATGGTAAAGCCAGCTTCATCTCGGACATATTTTGTGCCACCAAATCGCCCATAAGTTGCGCATCTTCTTATTTCTTCAATATAATATTTCGGCATTTCGTAATATCCTATCTTAGAATCTACCACAGACCACGGCCATGTATCACAGAATGACTTAAAATATAAATACATATTTAGCCGACCATACCAACAGGTATTGCAGGCTATTAATCCTTAACTGGTCCTGTAATAGATATGTATCATGAGTACGCCTTCTAAAAAGTTTAAAAAACACACAAAAAATTAAAAATAACACATTTTTATTTCATTATATATTATATCATGTATTATTGAACTAATATAGACAAAAATTGGTTCAATTAATATAAACTTTAAGAAAATACGAGGCATGTTTTTGAAGTAAGTACCGTTTTGCGATTCCGCCGCCGCAGCGCTACGGTCGGCGTTCCGCGCATGCGCGCTGGTTACCTACATCTCTTGTCTATGCACAGACGCCAGTACAGTCTGATTCTTCATTGTATACGTTGTTTATTGAGTGTTTAAGATGCCTCCGACAATCGTGAGCCCCGCCGATTGTGAAGTACGGGCTGTCATACGATTTCTTAGAGCTAAAGGCGTAAAACCGATCGATATTCATCGTGAGATCTGTGAAGTTTACGGACAAAATATTATGAGTGATGGAATGGTAAGGAAATGGGTGAGAGCATTTAAAGATGGCCGCACAAATGTGCATGATGAAGAACGGAGTGGGCGTCCTTCGGTCGTTAATGAAGATTTGGTGCAGAAAGTGGACGAAAAGCTGAAAGAAAGCAGACGCTTTACAATTTCATCATTGTGCGACTACTTTCCTCAATGTTCTCGTAGTGTTTTGTATCGCATTGTGACCGAGAACTTGAATTAGCGGAAATTGTGTTCACGTTGGGTTCCGAAAATGTTGACGGATTTGCACAAAACCCAACGTTTAGGCAGTGCATTGACTTTTCTTGAACAGTACCACAATGAAGGTGAAGATTTTTTAGACAAAATTGTTACTGGTGACGAAACATGGGTGGCCTACGTCACACCAGAATCGAAACAACAGTCCATGGAATGGCGACATTCATCATCACCCAAAACAGTGAAGTTTAAGCAAACAATTTCTGCCCGGAAAATCATGTGCACAGTTTTTTGGGACAGAAAAGGAGTATTGCTAGTGGAGTTTCTGCCTCGTAATGAGACAATCAATGCAGCATCTTATTGTGTGACATTGAACAATCTGCGCCATGCAATCCAAAACAAAAGACGTGGCAAGTTGAGTAAGGGTATTGTTTTGCTTCATGACAATGCCCGTCCACATGTGGCTAATCGGACCAAAGATCTCTTCAAATCTTTTAAATGGGAAACTCTAGATCATTCTCCATACAGCCCTGATCTGGCGCCCAGTGACTACCATTTATTCCTGCACTTGAAGAAACACCTGGGCGGTCAGCGTCTTCAAGACGATAACGAAGTCAAAACAGTTGTGATACAGTGGTTAAGCAGTCAGGCGGCAGAATTTTATGAGGAGGGTATTGAAAAACTGGTGCCACGTTATGACAAGTGCCTCAATATTCACGGAAATTATGTAGAAAAGTAGATTAAGGTACAGGCTTTCATGTAAAAATAAAATTATTGCGATATCTTTGCACGTTTTTTTTAATTCCAAAACGGTACTTACTTAAAAAACATGCCTCGTATAGTACAAAATAAAATAACATACATATAAATTTGAAAGAAATCAATTAGGTTTTCACTAAGCTCTAAAAATAAAACCAAATTATTAACAGTCATTACAATATAGAAATAAGTTTTTAATACTATATATATAAAAAATAAGTTATAAAACTGGAGTTAAAAAAAAGTTTTTAGTTACAGCATGAGGCAAAGTTCATGTTTTACAAAATGGATTCGTACATTCTAGGCATTAAAAATAATTAACTAGGACATAACATTGTCTTTAACTAGGATAAGAACATCTCCGTAGGCATGTTCTGGTTGTACAGAAATTAGAAGTATTCTACCAATTGTAAAGTGTATTTCTTATGGAATATTTGGCATTGTCAAACGCATTTGTCTGGCAGATTATCATATAGTCACTGTCACAGTCCTCATCATATCATTTTAATAGAGTTTCTTCATAACTAGAGTCTCCTAAACGCACTCTTTTCGAAGGCCCGGCCATATTTTACAAAAGTTTGTCACACACAAAATCTCACACAAACGGTCCGGCGTCGTCTGAAAGACTACGGCTTAAGTAACTTCTGCTAGAACTTCTAAAAAACTAATCCAGTTTAGGCATAAATATGGCTATCAGTTGTTGACCGAGAGGGAGAGGATTAGCTGGAACACCGATCCTGTAGGCGGTCCCAGTAACTAATGAGAATGAGTTAATTATTTGGCGTAGTCTGTCAGACGACGCCGGACCAGTTAAGGGTTAAGATTGGCAAAAAAAAAGTTTTTTTAATTTCACTCAAAATGAATTATTTGGGTCATAAATGACCTAAATACAAAATATTTTCATGGTGTCTGTCTGCCTGTCTGTCTGTTTTTCTGTTCGTCTGTAACACGATAACTCAAACACCGCTAAACCGATTTTAACCAAATTTGGCACAAAAATATTATGGCACCCGAGAATCTGTCCATTAGTTTTTGGTGGGGGTGGGGGTTGGTAAGGGTATGGGACGGGGTTAAAAATTAAAAAAAATCGTAGCTCCAAAATTACAGTAGCTAGCGAAACGCGGCTTTCAATTTAAGATTAGGAATAATATTTGCAACAAAATTTGTAATAACATCAAAATCAGTCAAAGTCGCAGTTTTTGAGATATTCCGTGTTTCCGTAGTCCGTTTTTGAGTAAAATCCGTGTGGAGAACTCCAAACTCCCATCGGACACGACCCCAGGTGGAGGATTGGGGAAATAACCGCGGACCAAAATTGGAAAAATTTCTTTACTTTGAAGCTAAAAGAACTGCCTACCAACTTTTTATTAACATATTTTAGTATGGGCGGCTATAAAATTATAAGATACAGTTACATGATGAAGATTTTAGAATAACAAAAAGATAGAAAATATAGTAAAAAAGTAGCAAATGTTATTCAAAGACATGCTATTTATCCTATGTTTATTCTAAATTGGTCATTTAGCAAGAGAAAAAAACTGCTAACGATGAAAAACCCAGGAAAACAAGGAAAAGAAAGCGCAAGGGAAAGAAAGAAATAATAGAGAGACTCGAATAGGTTTATTATACGTCCGACACACTAATATAAAGAACCGTCTTCTTTCTTCGTCCGCAAAAACATCGAATAATGACCAGCGCGAGCTTTAATATTCCCATATATCAACAATGTCGTCTATTCTACGATTTTTTACTCGGCTTTTTTGTCAAACGCCAACAAGGAAGACACGTACTACCTTAGAATCATCCGCGGCCACTGCGAACGGCACGA